ATAGGCCTTGATTCTTGACAACTATAAAGTGTTAAGCTTTACGAAAAATAGCTACTAATGTAACCGTAATGGACGAACTTTCTCGTTTGTCTAAAAGATGACAAGAATATACAAACAGAAATGAAGATAAGACTAAAATGCTTGCATAACCTGTCGACAGGTTATGTGCTATGCGATCGTAGTAGATATAGTAATATAGTAGATATGATTGATATTTTTTAGAAGGGTCATCTTTGAAGAAGTAGAATGTAAAGATAAAATAGGTAGATCTGACCAGTCTTTTACAACTGTTATGTTTAGTCCTATTCCATCAAACCATTTCCGTAACTGGTAATGTCGACATTTGCTAGGTCATTTCGTACCCCACATTTCTTGGCATTATTTTTATAATGTGTAAAACAATTAAAATGTACAACTAAAATAAATGTAAACCAAACTTTATCAGTTGTATTCATATTTATGCTTGAGTCAAGCATTCCCAAAGCGGCCATTAAATTCAATAGAAACCAAACAAACACAGATCTTTACTTTGAACTCATTTCAATTCAGATTAGATTTGCCGATAACATTCTTTTGTTGCATCTTATCCTTTGCATATATTTCTCATACAAAATGGTCTTATCGTTTTCATCATGAATGCAGATTAATTTATTGAAATATGCATTCGAAGCTATTATCAATGACTTATACATGGACGTTTGGGCTTTGTTCTTTTCTTCATGTCTAAAGGTCAAAATGCAGCAGAATTTAAGAGGAGTTGAATGTAGACCTTATCTGTACATTTTGTATTGTTAGAAGTCAGAATTTTTAATTGAAATTATTAACGTTGTCTCAAAGCATGTGTATTCTGTGGGAAAGTGTTTCGGAATTTCAGGTCTAGCACATATTCAAACGGGGATCTTGGTGTGAGGCTTATAGTCATTATAAATGAAAATAAAGCAAATAAAGAATAGAAGGAAAAATCGCTCAAATAGCAATTCAATATTAAATCGAATGATTGCCAAATACATGATGAATTTTGAAAGCATCATTTCACACAGCTGTATATTCTGGAATCTGTGAAGCCTCCATTTGTGTTTTTACTATCAAATAGAGATTTCAAATCCGTGAGAACGACAATTTGATATTGAGGAAAAACGTAATAACGGTAATGACAATTCAACGCAACACGACGCTTTAACTTCGTATAAATGTTCACAGAGTAGTTCACCTGCTCAAAACGAGAATACTACTGCTCTAATCACTGAATGATTTACAATTACAGTTAATCAACTCAGGTTAAAGGTCAAGCTTAAAACTTTCTGGCCGATTGACCACTGTGGTCGAATTGATTAGTTTCATAGTATCGAATCAGTTTAAGATTTCAAAACACTTTTCTTCACGTTTCACAATCTAATTTATTTCTTCTGATGTTTTTCAACAAATTGTTATTTCGCTTAGCTTCATTAATTTGATTCAGTATTCAAGTTTTCTCCTTCACCAAGGGCTGCGTTCGTTTGATGTTTCCCGACTAGTTCTCACCTGTCAATGATTCGATTGACTCGACAATAAGAACACCTTTAATAGATTGGTAATTGAAAATACGGCTCTAGCTGTGTGTGGTGGTTGCAGATATTTACCGTGAAAAGCACAGGTAAAAAAATCGCATTAGTTTATATATTGAAATTTCATCAGAACAAAAGTTGCAAAAGCCCTTAGACATCATTTGCAACTTTTGAGGTGTTGACGTCATAAAATGTTTAGTTTTAATGGAATTGGAAATGCCAGAACCACAGATGTCTGATCAAAAATTTGAATGATGCAAGTCGATACTATCAGTGTCCCCGATAGAATCGTCAATACAACGGCAATGATCTCAAGCTCATCCCTATCGTGAATTCAAAGCAGATAATTTGATCTAGGTTATAATTGATAATACACCGCTGGTTATTTGTACAGAAAATGTAACATTTTTTTTAATTGTGCATGTCAATTTAATCATTTATCGTAAAAACTAGAATGTCAACGTAACACTATCACAATTTGTCATCGATTTTTTAAATAAAAACATTTAATAATATTAGAATTTCGATCCGATTCGCTGCTTTTTCATGTATGGTATTTTTATTTTCGCACATAATTGCATGAAAATTCAATTGCTGTTCCGGCCGAGCTGCTTTGCTTTGTTTATTATATTATGTTCTAATTCTATTTAGCACTATGTAATCATAGAAAGACTTGTCAATAAGCTGGCGATAATTAAATAACAATTAAAATAATGTGCAGTCTATGTCAACCAAACACATTAAAAATTCAAACTTGCCTTCATATTGACATTAAAGTCACAAAATGCAGTAAATGATTGATAGATCACACGCTATTTGTCATTTGAGTAAACGAAACTGCCCTATGTCGATCTAGTTTGTAATAATTACAAGAAAATCGTCGACATTTCCTTGACATATATTTTTAACAATTATTGTTTGAAATATATGCCAGGTAAATGTCGACGGTTTTCTCTCATACGAAACTAACTATGGTTCTTACATAGAAATTTCCATGTAAGAACGATACGTATTTTCGTGTGTACTTTCTATGTGCTTCAGAAATAACTATATACTTAATCTGCCATTCCGTCTTCATTAAACCACTTAGACCGAGAGAATAGAACGCAAAGCACCATTTCTGTTGTTTAGAATCTTGTGGGTTCGATAGAATTAAATCATGAATTGCTTTTGGATATTACCAAGGATGAATTTCGAAGGTATTTTTGTATCCTTCTCGTCAAGGGCCTCATTCTTAAATATTTATTTATAGCATGCCATGATATAAAAAATTGTCCAATGATGTCAAGGTATACGGCGGAGTTCGCTATACCTTGATATTGTGAAGATGATACTTGAATAAGAATTAAATACGAACATATAACTTCAATGCAAATTACAAAATTTCTCATGGAAAGTTTTAACTGTTGTGCATTTTCAATAGAAACTGTATTGAGAGACCACCTAAGGGAATAATCTCAATAAAGATGGTCGCAATGAGCAGGGTTCACTGTACTTTAAATCTTGTCCAGGGTAGCTTTAATCTTGTGGTTAGATAGAGATCTATTATAAAAAAAAAAGATGCGAATACAAACAACCATAAAATTAATTATTAATGTGATTTGTTTAAGCATTTCAAAAGCCTTTGTTGACTTTATTAATGTTCCATTGTAAGCATGCAATTTGACTTCAAGCTATTTTCACTCTGATGTTTGATGCTTGGTTTTTTGGTGTTTGATTGGGCTGTTGTATTACTATCAATATTGATAAAGCTTTACACTTGATATGAATGATTTAATCAGATGATGATGATATGATATAAAGAATAGAATACCATATCATTGAATGATACCTGTTAATTGTATAAAGGTGGCAATTTGACTGCGATGTGGCAGCGTATAAAAGATTTTGTCACCGTCTTACATTTTTTCACATCGCCTTATCAATACAAAGATGAAGCCATGGATGACTTTATCCAAATAGCTTCATATTTGGCTTTTAATTTCAACCAATGAAAACGGCATGGACGTTTGTGACTATATAATATGCTATATAATATTGGTGCGTGTGTTAATTTTACAAAATTACAAATTTACAAAACAAATAGTAAAAATGGATATTTTGAACCGTGATTGGCCGGTTTGAACCTCACAAAAACACTAATTTTCAACAGATGCCCTGAAAAATTTGCAAACCGGTGGTTACATTGACCCTCTTGGGTGATGTCAAACTCTCACTTCCACAAAATTTACATTAAACCAAACGAGAGAGTTTTTCTTTTACGTCTAATGCAGTTTATGTAAACTGCTTACTACTACGTCATGCAACGAGTTCGTTATTTGTATTGTTTGTACCAATCTAGAAACCATCTTCACAATGTCAAGCTATTATGACCTTCGGCTTATACCTTGACTGATATAGCCTCCTTTCGTGCATCACTGAGGTTTGTTAATGCGGTGATTTGATTTGATATAGCCAATCAGAGGCCTCAACAAAAAGCCTGTAAACACTAAAACATACTGTTTACAGTCTTCTGTCGAAGGCTCTGATTGACAGTTATCCCGGGAGTACAATCCAACCAAATCGTTGTTTACAAGAGAGGCGATGCCGAAGGTCGTAACAGATTGACATTGTGAAGGAAGTGTATCACTTTCAAAGTAGAAAGTAAGGCGAAAAGTTTTACTTAAGTTATCAAAATAATATACATTGTGTACTTTGATCTAATGATCTGTATGCATGTTATCTAATACTAAGATAGATAGATACCAAAGTTTATCATGACCACCTAAACATCAAATAAATGTCATCAGCTTGTCATCAGTTTTTGGATTAGTTCAAACTTGAACACGTTTCGTCAAAAGTTATCCTTCTTGGCTGCAGTTGTGCACGTTAAAGAACTCTCGACAGTTGGAAATCAAAAAGAGTAGGCTAATTTCCATCATTGCACACTTCATGGCGTTGCCCGTTTTCCATTGAGGTACAGAGGAGTAGGACGTAAAACAACATTCATTTCATTCCTTGGACACATTAAACCATGAAATCAGATACAGTTTTCATATTGTTCAGTTCATATTGCACACATTTCATATGCCTACGTCGACATGCATTGGATACATTATTACTGGTGCGGTCGTAGAGTTTAACCATGTCTATAGTTGCTCTAGATGGTGATGAACCAATCCAATCTTATTTGACATCTTCACCACAAATGATGTGTAGGCTACATTGCACTCACAACTAAGTGACACTGAATTTCACCAGTGTATATTCATATATATTCAAACACTATACTGTGTACAAATGTATATTCATAAATTATGTTCTTAAAACTTTTGATCACAGATTTAACTTTTTGACAGCAATCTTTTCAGCTGTTTTTCTGTCTGGTTTACTGTTACTATTTAAAGGAATTTTATCTAATAATATAACATATTTTGGGCAAGCTCCTGTACTGGAATAGTCCTCACTTACAAAACTCTTTTGACAGAACTCTTGGAGGTGTTTCTCGTTGCAGTTCGAACCCGGAACTAGCACTACACATGCGCATATTTCATTCTGCAATAATGCATCTGGAACCGGAACCACAATGACGTCATCAACATCAGGGCATGTTCGAATGACGGACTCAATCCATGCTGGGTGAAAATAATCCTCGCTTCTGACGATCACTTCCGCTGTACGACCAAACACTATCAATTCCCCTTTGTCATTCACGTATCCTTGGTCATGAAGATTTATAAATCCATTTTCGTCGAATTCCGACTTAGTTAGTTCCTCATCTCCAAAGTAGCGGCTAAACATCCATTTAGTTTTGACGAAAATATTTCCATATTTGCCCTTGGGTAATGTTTGGTTATTTTCATCTTTGACTATAACTGTGTTTTCAGGACACGGTCGCCCGGCATTAAAATCTTCAAATTCACTTTCGTCTGTAATGTGTATGTAAGAAACTGCATTGGTCTCTGAAGTTCCATAGGCGTTGCATACCGAGTGAAAATATGGAAGAACAGAATCAACAAATGATTTAGATAAAGGTCTGCCACCTAAAACACAATATTTCAGTGGCCAGTTTTTTAAATTGGGTTTAGTTTTCACAAAGTTGATCAAGTCCAGCAACTCTGGCAGACCGATGATAATGGTTTCGCACCTTTCGCTCATGGTGATTTCATATACAAGTTTGTGTAGATCGTCGGTTTGAGGTGGATTGCGTTGATCAATGAACACTCTCTTCTGACCAGTTGAAAGGTAGAAGAAGGGAATTCCGGGCATCCAACTGAGTGATAGATAATTAACTATTCCCGTGGAATCGTTTCGATAGATTCCCTGTAGTACGTTAGTGAAGAGTGTTCCCGGCTGAACAATCAGCTTGGACATACCAGTTGTCCCCGAAGATAGTAAGATTACGGCATCGGCTTTTGGATCGTGTCGTATGACGTCATCATCTGTGTGTGTGATTGGACTCATCCACAGAAATTCCAAACTCTTATTTTTTGATGCGAACACGACATGTGTCAAATCTGGCAACGCGGTAGATGAAACTTTATTCTCATCTTGTACATCAAACAGTTTTGTAAATATACGGTGACGTTCTTCATCTACATCGGACGACATAATTAAAGCCCTGCATTTTGTTTTGATCAGATTCTGTATCAAAAACGAGCCATCTTTGAGAGAAAGTTTTCCATTAAAAAGAACACATCCAGAGAACAAAATCCCAAAGAATGCAATGATACCCTGTGGTGAATCTGGTAACAGACTACAAATAACATCTCCGGGGCCTAAACCAAGACCTTTCAGTTGTTTAGCAAAGTCAGTAGCTTGAACAAAGATCTCTTTACATGTAAGCGCTGTTCTTGTACCATCTTTATCAATAAAAACAAAAGCATCCGAATTCGGATGTACCTTGGCCCAATATTCTAGTCTTTCTGGTAATGTATGATTAGGATTTGGTGAGGTCATGGTGTTTCTTGAGTTGCTAGAAAAACAAATGGTAAGTATTGTTTCAAGATAGTGGTCACAAAAACAGTTCCTTCGAATTTTCATGTTCCTTGGAAGGAATGGCACTGGTCTTTTCATTGACATCTTTACAATGTCAAGTTATTACGAACTCTGTCTTCACAATGTTAAGGTATTACGAAAACTGACCTCACTATGCCAAGGTGTTCCATACACTGACTTCACAATGTCAAGGTATTACAAACACTGACCTCACTATGCCAAGGTATTACGAACACTGACTTCATTATGCTAAGGTGTTATGAACACTGACTTCACAATATCAAGGTATTACCAACCCCGTCTTTACAATATCAAGGTATTACCAACACAGACATTGGCAATGTCAAGACGTCATGGAAAGCTTTATGGTTTCAAAACAAAAATTTGTTTATTTAGAAACTAGCTTTGAAAGTACATGCAAATTTTGTGAATTTTCAACTTGAAATAATGCCCCGTAAATATATCCTTACCTTGTTTTACCTGTATGTATTATATCTTGTCATGTATACTTGGAAAGTTGATCTTTTACCCTCATATCTGTCACGTTTATACTCATTTCGGTGGTCATGTGACTTAAAAACAAGTTCGCCATTTTCGCTTTTCGTGAGTTAACCCTAAATTATCTAATAAAAATTAGATGACAATTTCATTCTCATTTGTTTTCTGATATTTTGTCTCTGGTGTAATCAAACAAGTTCCTGTTTTATTGACATTAATTTAGTCAATTAATGCGTTTCTATCCCACAATGCATTATGTCATCAAGAAACGGGTTTAACATAACTCATTTTGATTATCACTGCCTGTGTTCCGACTTCAACCGCAAGACGTCCTTATAAAGTAAATTCAATCTATACTGAATTAATATGAACACTTAATAAACTGTTTCCAACAATGTCTCAATCGTACATTTTGTGTCGGTTTTATGTATCTATATTTAAATTATTACAGAGGACTCCAACTTGAAGTCCGAGTTTATTTGTAAAATATTTATCAGATATAATGTTTTAAAAACGCCAGTGATGATATAAGATATGATAGTGAAACTAAAGGTGAATATATGGGATGGCTAATTCAGGTTACATGTGCAAAATAGCCGAGTTAGCGTATCCGGTACGGCGTATGCTGTATTGTACGGTGTGGCGTGGTCCGAAACATCTGCCTCCATCCCAGCCTCTGATAGCTATTTGTGGAAGTTGTCGGTCTACTCCAGCTCTAGTTATCAGAGGCTGGAATAGAATCTGACTTGGTGTTGGATACAGTAGAATATGGGACGGATTCGATGCACACACATCTATTTTCTGGTGCAATTTTGCGCTATAGCAAAAATTGCGAAGGGTACATGAGTGCATGTTTTTAGTAACTTTGAATCCAAAAGATAATATGTAGTATCAGAGAGCATTCATCCACAATCATCCATATTTTGCAATGGAGAAATTTAAATTACTGATCTACCTCAAATACACACGTTCCTTTTAAAGGGGCAGTTTGATTAGTTTTGTAAGTAGACAGCGGAAGTCAGATTCTCAATACAATACAAATTATAGACCATATTCTAGAGAAATACGATCCTTTGGTTCATTGGGAGAGGGAGAATAAGTTTTTTACGCATGCCTTTAATGTTTTAACGAACCAAAAATTACAAAAGCAATTACAGAGCAACATGCTTTATTTTGACTACAAACATTAATACAATTCAAATGGAATAATTAATTAAATACGCTAAATTCGATGAAAAATATTATTAAATTATTTAAGAATTCGGTAAAAACATCTATGATTAAAATTTTGCGTGTAACTGCACAATTTATGGTTGAAAATGGAAATACCACAACCTACGCCTCTTTTAAATAATAGATTTTTAAATAATTCAAATGAAATACGGTTGTTCACTACTTTGAAAATTATTGATTGTCATTTTTAATAAAGTTAATGAACTTGGTGCTTTTAACAATCTTTGTTATGTAAAGACGGATAACGTCATGAACTGTGCAATGAGGGGAATTTTCCAGGACTGCAGCACCAGCCAACTCTTTTTCGTTGATCAACTGTCGAGGATCTTTAACATGAACAGCCTGTAGCACACAGGGCCCAGGTTTATTGTCCAATTCGGACTGCATTAGAGTCATTGAAGAAACAATTGTAACCAATTACAGATCTATGGTGGCCCATGAGCGCCATAGCTATTTTATTATTTCATTTATGAAAAAAATATTCTTTTTAATTTGAATTCATTTTTATTTTACTTTCATTTCGTTTTTTATTTTACTTTTATTTTTATTTTACTTTCATTTCGTTTTTTATTTTACTTTCATTTTGTTTTTAAATTAGTTTTACTTTCATTACGTTTTGTATTTTACTTTTATTTTTTATTTTACTTTCATTTCGTATTTTATTTTACTTTCATTTTGTTTTTAAATTCATTTTACTTTCATTTCATTTTTACTTTTTATTTCACTTTCGTTTTGTTTTTAAAATATTTTTACTTTTACTTTCATTTCACTTTTTATTTTACTTTCACTTTCGTTTTGTTTTTAAAATCATTTTACTTTTACTTTCATTTTCGTTTTTAAAAATAAATTCTTCTTCATTTACTGTGCCATAGTGTCCAGATTATCCAGTCACACTTTTGTCTACCATCCAAGTGTCAGCAACTTTAACGGAAATAGCACCACATGTAGTGTTTTGGTGTTTTTTCACAAGTTCTTGTAGTTGATATTGAGGGTTACCGGTATTGGCAAAACCGTGGAATATTTAAAGGTACATACAAAGACTCTCGGAACATGTTGAGCTGTGGGTAGGCCTATAGTATCCCCAGATACACATTTTATTATAATTGTTTGTCGTCGAATCCAGACTTTTGCTGAGAAATTCCTCTAAAGAGAGAATTAAACTCCCAATATTCAGCATGCTTGCAAGGGAAATAGAGGCAGGGAAAGCTTGAGGTCGTGCAACAGATGCTGATGGTGTAACTGACAAAATATTTGTGTCGACAGGTTTATTAGTAGAAATACCACTACAAGAAGGCATATTCCTATTATGTTCATTTGTTGTGTTCATGTCAGTCTTAGAAGATTCAACGAATCTGATGTGAAGTAATTTAAATGATTTGATCTGATCTGATCAATATTTGAGAAAGATGGCCCTCGATCTCCTGCCATGATATCACATTTGTAAGATGGAATATCAAAATGTTTTTGACAAGCAGCCTTAATGCTATATAATGACATCTCCCCGTTAAATTCCACCATTGTGAGGGGACCAAGACGGCGATATTTTTGACATTTACCCTCAACATGTTCTTAGAGTCTTTGAACAGTTAAATATTCCAAGGTTTCGCCATCACTAGTACCCTTACCCTTTGCTTTCTACGTTTGGCAATTTGGGCCTTAAAATCTGTCCATTTTCGTTTAGACATATTTGCTCGGGTATTAATTATGGAGGTTGAGATACTATTTTATCTTAAAATCTAAAGAACTTGTGACAAAACACTACATGTGGTGCTATTTCCGTTAAGGGGAAGGTTACTCGCAAGAGCACATTGAAGGGAAATAACTCCTGCTCACACTTGTATGCAATGACGTCATTGCTTGGATGATAGAAAGTGTGACTGGATAATCTGGACACTATGGCGCAGTAAATTAAAATGAAAGTAAAAGTAAAATGATTTTATAAACAAAACGAAAGTGAAAGTAAAATAAAAAGTGAAATGAAAGTAAAAGTAAAATTATTTTAAAAACTAAACGAAATTGAAATAAAAGGTACAATGATTTTAAAAACTAAACGAAAGTGAAAGAAAAAGTAAAAACGAAATGAAAGTAAAATGAATTTAAAAGCAAAATGAAAGTGAAATAAAAAACAAAATGAAAGTAAAACG